GTGTAAATTGTTGGGCTCTCCTCCTTTGTCCCGGATCCTCATACATCACTGGGCTTTGTGCCTGACTCACTCAAGGCTTCAGAAAACTCTCTGTTTTATTCTACATAACTTTTCTGATAGATTTGGTTATTTCCATTGAGTAAGGACGTCTAGTTCCTGATACTTCACCTCGGTCTGTGGCTAAAATCTTGCCAGGTATGAATTTAATTATTACTCAGACTGTACATGATGAATTTCATTTTTTGGTTCACAGTTTCAGATACATACCATCAAAAACTATCAACTCTGCTTCATTATGCTGTGTGGTGTTTAAATGGTGCATCAACTTTCCGAGAGTGGTGATTGGGTGATAGTAACATCGCATTTCATAGGGTGATTGTAACAAACTTCCACAAGCGTGTGTCTTAAAATAGCAGAAAGGTGCTCCCTCACTCTTCTGGGGGGCTGTAACTTCACAAGGCCAGGTTTGGCAGAGCCAGTGCCTCTCGTGGCCTCTTTAGGAGAATCAGTTCCTTGTTTCTTATGTTACTGAGTTCTTGGTGACTACCAACATTTCTTGGCATCTAGGGGCCCAAATAGCCAAACCCAGTGCCATTGAGAGATTCCAATTCGCCCTCTGGGACAGGGTAGAGCTCCTTAGCAGGTTTCAGACACTAATCTATGGAGCAAACTGCCGCATCTTTCTTCCAGTGAGGCTTGTGGGTTCAACCACGAACCTTTTGGTTTGAAGTTCAGCACTTTAACCACATTTCTCTCTGAGCTCCTGCAACTAGGAGCCCCCAAAACAAAGCAAAACCCATTTCTATCAACTCGATTCCATGTCGAGGGATCCTGTATACGGGTTCCAAGACTAAATCTTCAAGGGAGCAGACAACTGTGTCTTTCTCCTGTGTTGCAGTTGGTGGAATTGAACCGCCAAATTTACCGTTAATGACCCCATGCCTAACCTATAGGGCCTCCAGGAATTCTTGCGATTAGGAACCAAAACCAAACTATAGGGCACACCTGCTGTTAAATAGAGTCTAACCCTTTGTGAGCCTATGTAGGATTACCAAGGCTGTAAATCTTCACGGGAGCCCCGTCTTTCTCCCACAACACAGCTCATAGGAGGCATTCAATCAAGCTTTCTCACATTTTATCATTAAATCTCAATAATTTATAGTCCACTTGTGGGTTTGAAGAGCCAATCTTGTGGTTAGTAGTCCAGCTTACGCAGCAGGACCACCAGAGGTGGGGGCGCGGGGTGGGGGGGATCAAAACCAAACTTACCGCCAATACATAGAAACTTTATAGGGCAATAGACATTAATTCCTCAAAAATTGCCCTCTTAAGCTACCTTCAGATCTCTCTTTCTACAAAACACTTCAGACTTACTCAATTTGAAATTCTTTTTGACAATAGCTTACCTTGCACAGAACATTAAAGTTAATTAGTTACTGGTCATTTCACAATTGAAAGTCATTTGTCTCCCTCAGGTAAAATTTATCCAGATACATGATAAAATCATACTCAAGAAAGGAGTTGAGCGTTTTAAGGGAACTGGGTTAAAATTAGAATGTTGGAAGTTAAATAACAATTCTTTTCTCACACCCTTTCCTCCAACTACTACTTACAAAATATTAATTAATTAAAAAAATTCTATGATTAGAAAAATCTCACTCCTGACAAGAAACTTAGAACTAGTCAAGACAAATGGACAGATTTGCCATCTGTAGAAATGACCCATTCTAGGAGGTGCCTGTCAATGTCTGGTCAGTGGAGACAGAAGTTTCCAGTACAGAGCACACACAAAAATATCTGCCTGAAGTGTCATCATTACAAGGAAGCCAATGGTACTGTTCCATCCTACCTAGTTTAGGATGATGCCACAGTGTGCTACCAACTTACTGAAAAACAGGAATCAGAGAATTATAATGGTTATTCAGAACAATCTTGGAAATTCAAGTACCTCTCATGATCATTCCAATTCTACTGGTGGGAGCAAAATGATTTAGACATACAGCAATTGCCTAGGCCACTAAACTAGAAGCAATAGGGTCACAACAAGAGAAAAGGGGGCAAATAAAGGAAGAACTGGAAGAAAAAAGAAAGCGAAAACATTAGGAGTAAATCAAGGGGCAGAAAGGAAATGAAAGGAAGACCTTCAAAGCCAAAGCCACAACATATTTTGTCTCACTCAAAGAATTGGGATGTTTTGGAAGAAGGGTTCATTGTATGCCCCTGTACTCTCCCATTTGATATTATGAAACAGAATTTTAACTGATATTCCTGCCAACAATTTACATTGCTTCACATGTGATCTTAAATACAAAAGTCAAGAACTCATTGCTTTATTGCTGATTACAATTTTTTTAGGACAAAAAGGAGACCCCAAATTGTTCTCAATTTTACCAAGCACAGTGTCCTTCTATAGGATGGTCTCTCCTGATAAGGTGGCCAAAATATGTACAATGAATCTCACAGTCCCTGCTTCTATAGATAGCCTTGAAAAGAAGGAGAATCCATGCTTACCTGGCAGGGGAGATACCAGGATCACGAAGGAGGTTTTCCCAGGGTGAGTCTTATCCATTGCACTCCGGATGTGCTGACCCCTGCAATTTCCCCAACTGGGGGAAACTCGACTGCATAATTTGTGGTGGTGGGGGGCTGCATTTGCACTCTCCCCTGGGGTTAAAAAGAAAGAAAGAGTGAGAATCCAAGAACACAACATTGTGCTAATGCAAGCCCTGTACATGGATTCTTGGTCAGAATGAGGATGTACTGCATGGTTTAAAATCAGCAAAGGTGTATGCCGGGGTTGCATCCTTTCACCAAACTCAGTCAATAATCAGAGAAGCTGGCTTATAAGAAGAAGAATGTGGTATCAGGATTGGAAGAAGATTTATTAAGAACATGAAGTATGCAGATGACACAATCATCCTTGCTGAAAATGAGGAGGACTTGAAGCGCTTTCTGATGAAGATCAAGGATTTCAGTTTTCAGGATGATTTACAACTCAATGTAAAGAAAACCAAAATCCTCACAGCTAGACCAGTAGGCAACATCATGGTAAGGGGGAAAATGATTGAAGTTGTCAAGGATTTCATCCTGCTTGGATCAACCATCAATGCTCATGGAAGCAGCACAAATGTCAAGAGAACAATTGCATTGCATTAAGTAAATCTGCTGCGTGGACCTCATTAAAGTGTGGAAAAGCAAGAAGGCTACTTTCAGGAACGAGGTGCATCTGACTCAGCCCATCGTATTTTCAATGGTCGCGTGTGTATGTGAAAGTTGGACATTGAATCAAGGAGACTGAAGAAGAACCGATGCACTTGAATTATGGTGCTGGCAAATAATGATAATACCATGGACTGCCAAAAGAACACACAAATCTTTCTTGAAAGAATTCTGTACAGCCAGAATTCTCATTACAAATGAGTGTGGCAAGGCTCCATGTCACCCACTGTGCACTTGTCCTCAGGAGAGACCAGTCCCTGGAGAAGGACATCGTGCTTGGTAAAGTAGCAGGGAAGTCCAAAAGAGGACCTGCAACAAGATGGATTAACACAGTGACTGCTTCGATGGGCTCAAACATACAATTAAGAACAATTTTGAGGCTGCCACAAGATTGGATAGTGTTTCATTCTGTTGTACAGAGGGACACCTAATAACAACAACTAGAGTCCTGCTTCTAAGGAGTCTTCTGGCTGTACTTTCTCTAAGACCAACTTTTCATTGTTCTGGCAGCCCACGGTCTAGTCAGTATTCTTCGTTGATACTAGAGTTGAAAGGCATTGGTTCTTCTTGGTCCCCCTTCCTCACTCTCAACTCTCCCACACATAAGAAGCCATTGAAAATATCATGGCTTGGGTCAAGCACACCTGACCCAAAGTGACATCTTTAAAGAAGTCTTTTGCAGCAGATTTGCCCACTGCAATATCACCTTTGATGTACGGACTATTGTTTTCATGTACATTGATTGTGGGTAAGGGTTAGAATTCCAAAATAAAATTGGGGGGACAATTTAATTCATAACAGTCCTCCACCTACTTTAGTATAGGACATTCAAACAAAAAAATACTGCCTGGAGTCGATTCTGACTCATAGTGCCTCTATAGGGTAGGCTAGACTGGCCATAGGGATTTCTATGGATTTCTAGGACTCAATCTTTACAAGAATAGAAAGTCTCATCTTTCTTCTGAGGAGTGCCTGATGAATTCCAGCTACTGACCAATTACCAGTCTAATTCCCAATCCTCTACGCCATCAGAGTTCCTGCACTTTAGCATAGAGCAGCGGCTCTCAACCTGTGGGTCGCTACTCCTTTGGGGTCAAACAACCCTTTCACAGGGGTTGACTAAAACCATTGGAAAACAAATTATGATGTACATCATGATTCATAACAGTAGCAAAATTACAGTTATGAAGTAGCAATGAAAATCATTTTATGGCTGGGGGTCACCACCACATGAGAAACTGTATGAAAGGGTCGCAGCATTAGGAAGGTTGAGAACCACTGGCATAGGGGATGCTCCTAAATGTAGACTGTGGTGAATATGTTAACAGGTGATCTCTCCTACATCAGAGGTCTTTAATTCCAGCCATGCTCTTCTACAGAGTCCAGGTTTTTGGTTAGTATTTGGAGGTCCCACAAGTATGCTTCACTTCGGGTAGTACTGTCTTTTCATATTCTCTTCCCTCAAGTACAAAGCCAGCCTTCTAACCCTTAACAATCACTCTATTGAGCGTATTTTGTCTGTAGAACCATACATGTTACTTTATAAGAAATTATTCTGAAAAAATTCTATTAGCAAATAAATTAATAGTAATATCAATACAACTATCCATGGGGTTAATTTATAATGTATCCCAACAAAATAATAATGTCTTTATAGTGAACCCGGGATATATAGAGACCATGGATATATGAATGGAGTTTAAGCTTTCATTTAATCATAGCCCCAATCTAAGAACTATTTGTTCTTATGACATGGCCCTACTCAATACTTACCACCATGAAGCAATCACTGGAGATATGGGAGCTCTAACAAAGTGTGGTGAAAAAGATGGTGCCCAGTAGTCAGAAATAAGAGCAGATAGGCTCTTAAAGACTTGTCTTAGAACAAACGGCCATCCAAGTGAGGCATCAGCTAAGCTGACCCTGGAAAAGCCCACCAGCATGAGTGATCCAAGAACGCAAATAAACTATAGATCTAAAGGAGGGAATGATATTAGTACTTAAATTTGAATCCCCAGGTGGGAAAAGACAGGGTAACAGTAAAAACTCAAAACCCATTTGCAGGGCCCCCCAAAAGATTAAGCCTCTGGTGAATGCCCTCTGCCTAAATGGACCAGAGATGGGAATGACCTTGTTACCAGACAGAGCACATTGCAAGTTGGATTACTGCCATTGTAGCTAGGTCAAAATGTGACGTTTTGTCAGTGGTCTCCTGCTTTACTCAATGTATTTGGTCCAGTTTTTAATATGTTCTCTTTTGTTTCCTATTGCGTTTCAGTATGCCATTGTTGTTAGGCCATTTGTACTGTGTCTTGATTTTGTATGATTTTCTGTATATGAAATCCAGATTAGAGAAGACTATAGACACAACAACTGAACTAATAGATTCAAAGGATATAACAGGGGTGGCTGGCAGGAAACAGGGAGCTAGCAACAAAGAGTACAAGAAAGAAGAATTGTCCAGGAATTGATTTTGGTGACCGTTACATAATCCTTATGAATGTGATTGAACTATTGTAATGTTTGACATGTGAACTGTATGTCAATACAAGTGTTAAAATTAACAAACTAGATATTTTTTCAAAACTAAAGAAAATTATATTAGCATAGCAGAGGAACTGTACTTAATTAAATATAATCCCTAGCTCCATCTGAATACTGAGCTTCTAAAGCACAACTCATCTATATATACCACTATCTAATACATGCTCATGATTAATGCTGAAAAATATTTGCATTCATGAAGCAATAACATTATCATCCGGAAAATGTATTCAAGATTTGGAAAGGATTAATAAGTAATCTTAATGTAAATTTTCTCCTGGTAATTGTACAATTCTGTAAGGGTGGTTATTCACAAAAGAAAATTCATGGCAATCATATCAAATCTGTTTTACAGTGGCCTCACAGAGTAGAGCAGACTGCCCGGTAGGGTTCTCAAGTCTGTAAATTTTTACAGACACAGACTGCGCCCTTCCCGCCCCCCACCCCAGCAGCTGGTAGGTTTAAACCACTTACTTCTCAGGAAACAGTAAATTGTTTAGTTATGGAAAACAAATAGCAATGTGAATGATTTCTGCCTGTTGAAAGGAAAATAAATTATTTAAATTCCTCAGTCAAATTTTCCATTGAACTGGTTTAATATCCTACTAGTTCTGTCATTTACTAACAAATTGGATAAATTCCTGAATATGCTTTCATTTTATAATTGCATAAAAGTTGAGATTTTACTTTTTTTGGAAAGTGTTTCTTACAGTCCCTTCATTTAATGTGTGTACACAAACTAACAAATGCAAAAAGTTTAGTGTTTGTAAATAGAATACAGAAAATATTTTATATTAAACTCCTTAACATAATAGTTGTAATGTAATCAAATGAAAATGAGTATGTCTGTTATAATCATAACACTAAATGAAAACACCAGTAGAATAATAGGATCTAGTTGATGTTGACTCATAGCAACCCCCTAAGACAGGGCCCCAATGAGTTTCTGAGACTGTAACTCTTTACGGGAGTAGAAATTCTCATCTTTTTCCCAGATAGAGCCATTATAATTATCAGATAATTGTCAGTTTTGCACACACACATGCAAGTATATGAGGTGGCTTCAAAATGTTCATGAAAAAATGGGACAACCCATTTTTTTCCTACAAACTCTTGGAGGCGTGTGTGTGTGTGTGTGTGTGTGTGTGTGTGTGTGTCCCCACACACATAGGAGAAGACTTCAAAAAGTTGAGAAAATGAAAGATAAAAATAAAAGATATGAACTTCATTTTTCAATATAAGTTCCATCAAGTTCAAAACCCTTTTGTAAATGGTAATAACAGCCATGCTGTCCAACCCTAAGGTATCAGGTTAACCATATCAATGTAGTTGATTTTAAATTATTTACTGAAGAAAACTGGGCACACTTTAAAGATATTTTTTAACTATTGGGAAATAAAAAGAAGGCAAATGGAGCCAAATTAGGAATGTTAAGTAGGACAATGCCTACTGATTTCTTATCAAAACTCAAAAAATTGCTATTGTTTGATGACAGGACTGAACAGATATATTGTCAGAGTACAGAAAGATTTTCTTTAGTTCTCCCAGGGGTTTTTCTGCTAAAAGGTTGGCTTTCTCAGCACATGCTCATAATAAACAGAAAGCCAGAATTCAAAATGCCTTGAGTATCTCATAAATTTTTTGCTGTGACCTTTGATCTTGAACCCCTTCCACTTCTTGATAGCTATTGCTTCTATGTTTCTACTTTGTTTCCAGGATAGCATTATAGGTAAAGCCACGTTCCATCTCTTGCTACAATTCAAAGAAATTCTTCAAAATCTTCACCCCATTTGTTTAAAAGGTCCATTGAGATCTCTGCTCTTGTCTATACCTGACATGATATAACAGTTTGGGCACCTATCTAGCAGAAAGTTTGTTCGCTTGTAATTTTTTCAGTCAGAA